GGGACACATACACTGAGGTATTGCTATGGCTTCTGGGGGAATTGATTACTTTATCCCAGTGTTACAGCCCTCTTTATCCTGGATAATTTTTGTCCTGAAGTCTGCTCTTAATGAAATTAGTGTAGCTTCTTTAGCTTTCTTTTGGGGTTAGTGTTAGCTTGGCATATCTTCTCTATATATGCATTTCATTCCCTCTTTACTGTTAATATATATGTGTCTTTATATTTTAAAAGTGACTTTTTTGTAAACAGAATATACTTGGGTCTTGTTTTGTTGTCTCCTTTGTCAGTCTTTTAATTGGTACATTTAAACCATTTATATTTAAAGTGATTAGGGACATAATTGGATTACTATCACCATACTTGTAATTGTTTTATATTCTTTGCACTTGTTTATTTTCTTTTTAAAAAAATCTTCCCCATTTTCTGCCCTTTCTGGTTTTAATTGAGCATTTTATGTTCCATTGTCTTCCCTTTCTTAGCATACTGATTACTCTTAAAAAAATTTTTTTTCTAGTTGTTGCCCTAAGGTTTGGTAGTATATATTTACAGCCAGTCTAGGTCCACTTTCATATTCCACCGTACCACTTCATGGAGGTTGGGGGGGTGAGTGGCACACAGGTTCCTTGTGGCAGAGCATTACCATTCCTCCCTCCTGTCCTCTGTGGCACTGTTGTCATTCATTGGACTTATCCACAAGCTGGAACCGCTCCATACGTTGTTGCTATTATTACTTTGAATAAAGAGTTACCTATTATATTAAATAAGAATAAAAAATACAAGGTTTAATTACCTTCATTTATTCCTTCTTTAATGCTCTTCATTTCTGTCAACCTTAAAAGTAAAATAACCAGCTAGTGGACCAGCAAAATGAGTTTATTTGGGAATTGCAATTTGGGGTGTGCAGACTATGACAAACCATAGGCAAGTCCAGAAAACAAAGGAGAGGGGCTTGCTTTTAGAAAATGAAAGGGGGAGGTTAGGGGCTGTTTGGAATGAAAGCCCATTGGAGGAGGGCGAGAGTTCAGGGTTATGGGGACTTCTCATGGCTGAGCTGTTGCTGGGCAGGAGGACATCTTTTCTCCTCCTGGGGTAGTAAGCGGCTTCCTGTTGGGAAATGCAAACACACTGCCTTTTTCCTGCTGAGGTCTGTAGGTAGCACAAGTGCTGGTGCACAGGAGCACCCCCCTTCAGGGCCTTCAGACTCCATTTGAAATGAGGCTTCTTTTGTTCATTTTCATTTCTTTATGTAGATCCAAGTTTTTGGCCTATATGATTTTCTCCGGAAGAACCTCAAACTTCAGTTTTCCTCTGATATTCTTGTTTTTATTTCCCTTTACCCCCTCTTTTCTTTAGGTTTCCTTCAAAAATCCTTCCAAATGGAGTGAGATGTAAACCCTGTTGATGGGTGATATAAATAGTAAAGTAATTGGGGAGGGGGATAATTCTATAATTTTAGATTTAAATCTCCATTTTTTGTTCTGTGGGGTGTTTTTGGTTTTTAGTGGGCCACAGTACCTGGGATATGACCTTCAGAAGAGTTTCTTAGCCTTTTTTTTTTCCCCCTCCCCTTATTTGAGACATGAAGGCTGGATTTAGCTAATTATCCTTCCTCAGGTCAGATAAGGCTTTAGTAAAACAGTTTCTCTTGAGGGCTAGCCTTCCTTATACGGGACAAAACAAGAACAGAACAACCCTGGGCCTGTTTCAAAATGGTTATATTCCCCCTCCCCCTGCCAGAAGCCCCAGGGGGATTTTCTCCAGTCTTCATGATAAGAACTTGCTGGGGGCTCCTAGCAGTAACACTCATGAAACTGTGAGACTTCCCCCTAAGACTGAGCACCCTGGAGTTTTTAACTCAAGCTGGTCCAGGATGAGCCTCCAGCAACCGTTACAGTTAAGTTTCTAGCAGTCCTGGCCCCTGCATTGGTTTCTGCTGCCAGTAAACTATGATTCTCCATATTAGCCTATCTCTGGTTTTCAGGGCAGATCTTTACCTATGAACTTAATTCTCTAATGAACCTAAGAAGCACTGTTGTTTTTCAGTTTGTTTAGCTAGTTTCTTGATGTGAGTAAAAAAGTGATGATTTCCAAGCTCTTTACATGTTGGAGCAGAAACCAGAAGTGCCCTTGGCGGTTCATTTCTTTTTTTTAACCATGCAACATTGTCTTTTATTATGTATGGGTTTTAAAAATTATTTCCTCAATCTCTCCATACACAGACAAAAGTAAGTATACTGTTTAACATACTGGAACTGGGAAATATTGACCATTGCCCAGAGAAGGGAAAATTATCCCTAAAACATGCTTAACCAGGAGGCCAATTCATCTGCCGACCTCCAAGAACATGGAGATGAACATGATAGACTGTCCCCCATCTGAACCTTCATTCACCACCATTCGATAACCCTTCTTCAGGCCCAGATCAGCAGCACATTTCTTGCCAACAATCATTAAATGTCCAAGAAGACGTTCATCATCATCTTCTGCTACAGAAATCTGAGATATAGGTTTCTTGGGTACCACCAGAAAATGAGTTGGTGCTTGAGGGGAAATGTCATGGAAAGCAAGACACTGGTCATCCTCAAAAATGATTTTGGCTGGGATTTCCTTGCGAATGATCTTCCCGAAGATCGTGTCGCCACCAGGCTGCGCGGCCTGTGCTTTGGCGATCTCATCTGCCATCTCGGCCTCCCTCCCGCGCGGCCGCCCCGGGGAGAAGCTCGAGAGGAGGGTTGGCGGTTCATTTCTAACCAGCAGTGGTTGGTCAGATGTGTCTGTCTCTGTGGGTCATTCCTGATACAGTTTAAATATAGAATTGTCAGTACTTAAAACTGAGGTGCCAAATACTTTGTTTAATAAAGGGAAAGGCTATGAAGTGGAGGAGAGTTAGAGTACACTGTGTGTGTTCTTTTTTGATAATAGGAGATGGACAGTTTCTCCCTTGGGGACCCTGGGAATGGGGGAAGAAACATGAGAGGAGCACTGAGCTGAGTTTAGGAGAGGTGTCCGTTTGCCTTTTTTTGTAAGTTTTAATTTGAGTTAATTTAAGTTTAAGATGTTTAATTCTGAAACATTTTAAGCATATTAAAGTGTATGAAAGAATACATAGATTGTGTGTGTGTGTGTGTGTGTGTGTGTGTATATATATATGGAACAAAAAAATGTTGATACTAATGTGGTAACTAGTTCTAAGTTGACACCTCATATGTGGACTTTATTTCCAGAAAACAAGCACTCCCAAAAAGAAAGCCATGTTGAGAAGCGTGGGCCCATTCTGTTGTTGGGTGTCATGTATTATTGAACTGATTTGCTACTCATGTCTGGATGTGCACACCTTCCCAGCCAGTATTTCTCTTCAGAGCGCAGGAAAGCACTATACTCACCAGCCCTGTGAAGTAGATATTCTCGTTATCACCATACAACTGAGAATACCGAGGCTCCATGAGGTTACCTGGAGAGAGGAGGTTAAGGAACTTACCAGGGGCTTGTCTGGCACCATTGCATCTTCCTGCACATGCTCTGACCTTTCCCGATCTTTGTGCCCCTTGAGTTCTCTGTGGATGATTACGGTCCAAAACACCCCACTTTCTGAAAATGCTTCCAGTCTTTTTGCTTTCACAGCACCCCACTCTTTTCCAGCCTCCTTGACCAGCCTTTCGTCTTCACGAGTTCTTCCTAAACATCTTGTGTTCTGTCGCTGAGAGGTAGCAGTAGCTCCTGGCCTTTTATTACGAAAGAACAATGTCCTTTGGGCAACTTATTCTAGGCCTGTATATAAAAGTTCATTTGTTCTGTGTCTAAAGGGACTCCACTCCTCTCTAGGAGGGAAAAAATGTTTAGGTTTGTTAGCTACAACTTCTGTTTGGCTCAGAGAACTCAACACACTTGTTCATCAGCCAGCACGGGATTGACCACCAGAGGAGGATGAAATCATCTTATTCTTCTTCAAAAATAAAGAAAGAAAGAAACTTAATACTGGCTGAAGAATTGGTAGGAAATGAACCTGTATCAGAAACCCTAAAAGGGGATGAAATGGTCAGAAACGCAAGATCTTACCTCTAAAATGCCAGGTCTTTGTGATCAGATTCAGGTGGTACATTCTTGGCTAGAATACTAAGTCATTTTGTGTCCTGTTGAGTATCAAATCTGGGCGTAAAGTGTTCATCTGCCTCTCATTTGTGACACTAATTTTGATCGTCCAGTGAGGGGGTTTTCTTATTTCTCCACTGTAAATTTTTTTTTTTTTTTTACTGCTACTAGTAAGCTATCTGGGAGGAACACTTTCAGACTATGCAAATATCTTATTCCTCATCAACATTTATTCCTTAGATTTAGCATCTGTTAATGAATTTTTCCTGGACCAGGGTTTACTTGTTGCACAGTGATGATTTTCTAACTCTAATACTCGCTCCATGTTTACCAGTTGGCACTTGGCATTTTACTTATAGTAGGAGCCTTCCTTTCTTGCCTCTTTATTTATTGTTGTGGACCCATGGATTCCAAGATTTTTTCAATGATTTATAACTTATTACTGTCCTTAGTTACTTTGGTGCTCAAACTATCCTGTATTTGGCCAGTAAGAGCTCCTTCAGGCTGACTCTCATCCATTCATTCATTCACTCATTTATTTTTGTGTACTTCCTTACTTTCTTGCATAATGGTATGTTCCAGGCTCATCTTGTCTCTTCTCAGTTGTGGAATCAATAGCCATTTTTTTTCTGAGGAGTGATATTTCCTTTTAGTAGGGAATGATATTAGAAGCTAAAATTTGAATATTAGGTGTGCTCATTGCTATTGCTATTTTTTTTTCACATGAATGGTTCGTGTTTTATTCTTTGAAGAATGGTTCTGAAACATTACACTAAGTCAGGCTGAAAGGTAAAGTTTAAAATAGTTTTATAAGGATATAACATATGACCGTTTGCTCCACAAAATTTTGACCTTAGAGCTTATGATACACCTAGTTGGCAATAACACCCAGGTTTTTCCAAATAGTCATCATTTTTCTCTCGTCTGCATAGACTTCTCATTAGCTGCCTTCTGCATTTGTTGCATTATCTCAGAGCCCCTCTGCTTTCCCTGAGAGGTGATCAAGCTCTCCTCTTTTCTTTTTCCCTTGCTAATTTCCTGGGATTTCTTCATGTTTTTCTGGCGGGCAAGTTCTCGCTGATTTCCTCGGGCCATGCTGACACTGGACCGAGCCTGGAAGAGAGCCCCTCGGGAAAGCAACGGCCTCCTAGCACCTTTTTTTTTTTTTTTTTTTTTTAAAGTAGCAGGGTGTAAGGAGCAAGAGTGTATAGAGGAATAATGTGGAAGGAACCGGAAAGATGAGCCTTCAGTGAATGGTGCGCATTTCAGTTTGATCTTGAAGAATTGCAAATAGGAGCGCATGCTAGGAGATGTGGGGAGCTATGGCAGGTTCTTGAACAAAGAAAGGGAAGTTTAAAGGAGTGGTAGCAGCTAAAGAGGGGTGAAGGGAGATCACACAGAAGGAGGCCAGTGACAAATAGCATGAGGTATATGTGATGAGATGCATGGTAGGTCTCAAACTGGAGGCCCGCAGGCCAAATTCAAGTTTCAGACATTTTGTTTGGCTTTTGTTTCTTCCCCGTGTGGACCCTGTGTTTGAGATCTGAGTATGAGTGATTGGGAGCTGAGGTTGGGAAGGGGGCCACACATCTCTGGGTCTCAGATTCCTCATAGAACCTTATCGGTTTTGGATTAGACTGTTCACTAACTTTGCCTCCTTTTAGAGATGGGATAAAACATGACTAGCAAGGGCAAGCCCCTTCGAGGTCGCACAGCAGACATTGCAAACGTCCCTCCTCCTCTTGCTCAGTAACTATCACACAAAAGTTAGGGCCGCCATTGCCTTTTCAGCAAACAGAGCTAGGAAATATATACATCGATATAGTGTACACTGTAAACATACATATACACAAAAACAGACCTATATATATGCATATATATACTTGGACATATAAAAATAAGCATATGCACTTACATATTTTGGAAATGTGTGTGAACGTTGGCTCCCAGTAACCTTAACATATTTATACATTTTCTCAATCTGTGATACATCTAAAATAGTTCTGGAACTATTAAAAATTCTTATCAATTTAAACTAATATGACACTGTATGTTAATTATACTTTAAAAAATAAAAAGAAAGTCTTGGGCGCCTGGGTGGCTCAGTCGGTTACGCATGTGCCTTCGACTCAGGTTGTGATCCCAGGGTCCTGGGATCGAGTCCCACATCGGGGCTCAGTGGGGAGCTTCTCCCTCTCTCTCTGCCCCTCCCCCCTGCTTGTGCTTGCTCACTCACTCTCTCCCCCTCTGTGTTAAATAAATAAAATCTTTAACCAAAAAAAAAATTATTTTAAGAAAATAAAAGTCTTGGAAGAGATATCTGCACACCCATGTTTATAGCAGCATAACTCATAATAGCCAAGAGGTAGAAAGAACCCAGGTGCCCATCAACATTTTTTTCCAAGTGGTGAATGGATAAATAAAATGTGGAATATCCATACAAGGGAAAATTATTCAGTCTTAAAAAGAAAGGAAATTCTGGGGCACCTGGGTGGCTCAGATGGTTAAGTGTCTGCCTTCGGCTCAGGTTCTGGGATCCTGGGATCGAGCCCCACATCGGGCTCCTGGCTCAGCGGGGAGCCTGCTTCTCCCTCTCCCTCTGCCTCTCTCCCTGCTCATGCTCTCTCTCTCTCTGTATCTCTGTGTCTCAAATGAATAAATAAAATCTTAAAAAAAAAAAAAAAATTCTGACACATCCTATAGGATGGATGAACCTTGAGGACATGGTACCAACTAAACCAGTTACAAAAGGAAAAAAAAGTATTGATTTATAATATATTACAAATTTATATTAAACAAGTATTATTAGAATTAAAAAATAATATATTTTGGAATATAAAAAAGAAAACCCACTAAAAGGAGTTCAGAGTTTGTAGGTTTGCCATTCACCCTGTCTGATTTCTTTTTCCTATGCTGAATATTGTGATAAAATGTTGTAGAGACTCAATTGTTTAGATTGTGAAGTTTTATTCTAGTAGGCAATTAAATTACTAGTGGAAAACCCTGACTTGTAGAGGCTTAATTGTAGATTTTTTCTGGTGGTTTTTTTTTTTTTTTTTTTTTTTTTTTTTTTTTTTTTTTTTTTTTTTTTTTAATTTTTTGTTATGTGGTTCTAGTTTGGTTTTGCCCTTAGTCCTATGATTTAGTCTTATTCCTAAGGCATGTCCCTACTGGATGTCAGTGGAAAGCCTGTGTTATTTCCCAAGCCTTTCTCACTTGGTGGGACTTGAATTCCCAATTCTGTATGCCCAATACTGTGTGTCTAATGAGAATCTCTGCTAAACTCCACATCCTTCCAGCTGCTGATTTTCTTAGAGTCTCACCCTGTGCGTGCGCAATTTAGGTGTTAGCCAGGGGTTTGAGAGGAATTTATATACAGATTTTGGGTCTTCTTGCTCCATTGTGTGAGTTTATTCTACAATTTATCCATTCTAGTGATGATAGATGTTTGAGTTGTTTCTGGCCTGAAGATATGAATAAAGCTGCTATGAACATTCTTGTGCTTGTCTATTGATAAACAAATGTACTCATTTCTCTTGGGAATATATCTAGGAGTAAAATTGCTAGGTCACAGAGTAGGCAGATTTGTTTATCAGATACTTTTCTGGAATGTTTTATAAATGGAATCATACAATATGTAGCTTTTTTAGTCTGGCTTTTTTCTTTTACTATATTTTTGAAATTTATCCATGTTGTTACATCTGTCAGTAGTTAATTTCTTTTTATTATTGGATAGTATTCCATTAAATTCTTGAAATGAGTGTTTAGAGCAATGATTTTTTTTCACTCATTCTTTTCTAATATGCATTTGAAGGCTATAAGTTTCTCTAACCACAGCTTTAGTTGCATCCTACATGTTCTTATATGCTGTATTTATTATTTCATTTGAAAATAATTTTAACTTCTATTGTGTTTTCTTTTTTGACCTATGGGTTATTTAGAAGTCTGTTTCTTCATTCCCAATATATGGACATTTTCTGATTACCTTTCTGTTAATGATTTCTAGTTTAATTTTGCTGTGGTTAAGAACATACTCAGTATGATTTCAGTCCTTTGAAATAACAGTGAGCCTTTCTTTTGATCCCTTTTTAATATACTGTTTGCTTTAAAAATGAAGTTATAGTATTCTATATATGTTCAGTAGATCGAGTGTATTTATCATTCAGGTCATCTATATCTGTAGTGATATTTTTGTCTGCTTGTTCTAATCATTTACTAAGGGAAGTGTATTGAAGTCTCCTACAATTATTATTGACTTATCTATTTCTTTTATAATTCAGTTTTAGTTTAAATATGTTGACCATGTTAATTATGCATACAAATAAAAAATTTTTCCATCTTCCAGATGAATTGAACTTTTTCCCATTATGAAATGATTGTTTTTATGTCTAATGTTTCTCACCCTCTTTGACTACTTTGTCTTGTTTGGTTTTAATAAACCTCCATCAGCTTTCTTTTGGTTAGTGTTTGCTGTGTATCGTACTCCATCCTTTTACTCTATCCCTGTATTTAAGGTATATCTCTTATAAACAAAATATAATTGTGTTTTTTTAATCCTAACCATCTTTGTCTTTTAATTAGATTATATAGTCATTTACATTCACTGTAATTACTTTTTGCTTTCTACTGTCTATGTTCACTTCTTCAATTGACCTCTTTTTGACTGGTTGTTTTTTCCTCTCTCTTCGCTTGGTAGTTAGATGCATTTTATTCTTTTAGTGGCTACCCTAGTGGCATTTTTTCTTATCAAAGTCAGATGTTACTTGGCACTTTACTTTCATCTCAGACTGTGAAAGAACTTTGGAACGCTATATAATTCTAATGTATAACTTCTGTTTGTCCCACCTGTTTTCATAAGATGGTATAAATCACAATCAGTGGTAGAATAATTACAGTCTCCATGCAAGACATTAATTAGAACTCTGGTACTATCGTTGGCTAAGCAGAAGCTAGGCATCTGGAGGAATATCGGATGAAATGCTTACCCTATCACTTTTTTTGACATTATCCCTCCATGCACGTTGTTTACTGGTATAATGCTGACACCAGAGGAGAGCACCTCCGACTGCATCCAGGGGCTGTGGGTGGACAGCTACTGAGGGCTCTTCTTAGAGGCTGGCAAAGCCTTTCAAGGTGAGTCACACGTTCATGGTGACTAACCCGCCTCTGTACTAATTCAGTGCTGGTGACTCTAATCCATAGGCTACACACTTGTATTTAACATATCCCATCTGCGTGTAGTTTGCTTGTGCTTCCATTATATTTTCTCCTCCTCATATTTGATATTTTAAAAATTGTCAGAAAAGGTATATATCCTTTTTCTAGTGACATTTTTGGTCAGGTTTATTTTAATTCATAGAGTGTAACTTTAGGTCCACAGTAGGTTGGCTTCCACCCTGTCAGTTTATTGTCTGATTCCACTTGAAGTAACATGGAGGAAGTAGTGTGTGACTCAGTCATTGCTCTCTGCTTTCTGGAAATACAGTATTCTGATTATCCATGATCAAATATAAATGAAAATGTGTATGCCTACATTTTTAGCACCTGTTCTGTGCTACTTATGTCCATTAATAATCTCCATTTGGTTTCTCTAAACTTATACTGTGAATTGATGAAGAATTATCTACTTGAAAATGTATTAATAGTCCAGTGACTAATCTATATTTCAAATGAAAACTTTCTCTGTGTTCTTACCAGTAATACTCTCTAATTTTATTTAACTTTTTAAAGTCCATCTGCTTATTGACTAAATTCATATCTTTATATAGTATTGTCCAAATTTTTGGACATGTTTGTTCATAGCTCCTAAAATTGGAGTGATATCACTATCAGCTATTTGCATGAATTTTAGGGAAAAACTGAAGGTAGACATCGACTTTTAGCAATGTCGAGTTCATGATTTTGAAATACATATATATTTAAATTCCTTTAATACTGCCATTTAAAAATGTAATTTACTCAGACTGAGTCATATTACTGTACTTACTACGTGTTTCTTCCCAGAATGTTTACTCAGAACCTAAAAAGGAAAAAGGAAATGGTTGATCCAGTACCTACGGTGCTATGATTTCTGAGACCAGCACTTGGTTCCTGTTTGGGTGTGTATTTAGTTCTGCTCCATTAGAATCTGGGCTGTGCTCCACCCTCTCCTTGAAAAAAATTTTTTTCTTCTCCAATGTAATTTATGAAAAATTAGGTTACAGGGCTAGGAGTAAATAAACGTGTGTGATGCCACATTTCAGACATAAAGTAGCACTTGCTATATTTAAGAATAAACTTCTGTAGATTGAACATAAAGGCTGTTTTCATTTTCTGTTTCAAGATACACTTTTGGCAACTCCCATAATCACAGTAAAGATGTTTTCTAAACCTTCTTTTGACCAAGGACTGCTGCTGCTATAAAGTCAGCATTTAAATTCCACGAACTGTGAGGGACAGGAATAACAAGGATAAGGTCAGGTGTTCCGTTCCTGCCCACAGAGTGAATGGGCTGTTTCAGTGAGTCTTTCCACCGAGCTGCCTGAAGGGAGAAAACCGCGGGGCGGGAGGGGCCTCAGGGCCTGAGCACCAGGTTCAGCAGTGCTGGCTTTCACGGAAGTGCCACACTAGCACATGCTTCCCAGAGATCCACATTATACAAGGTTGTAGTGATAAAGTGCATGACCGGTTGCCGGGTGGGGGGGATGGGGGGGGAGGTAATGAGTGCATTGAATGTAGCCTGAATCACTCTTTGCACAATTATTTTTAGACTTTTTGAAAAAAAGTAGATCTGACTTGCCAAGAATAGAGTGCTTAATTTTCAAGTAATTGAAGTGGGGTTTTTTGTTGTTGCTGTTGTTTTTCATCTCCAGCCAGGAGTTATTTATGGGTTTAAAATGGATATGAAAGTAACTCAAGACTATTTCAGGATCTGAAATCACTAAATGATAAAGTGACATATTAATGTCATTATATTCCTGGTCATATGAAGGTTTCCTTTGTGAAGAACTCTCATTTGTTTCATGTTGAGCTTTAGGAGAACTTAATTATGGGAGAAATGAAGTCAGTGTCATTAAGGATGGAGAGTGGGTATCTTGATAACTTGGTGTGCTGGGGATGTGTCTGCCCTCATTCTCAGGTTTATCCAGCAGGCTGTTCTGTTAGAGGTTCCTAGAATCACAGGCTGCTTAGGGACTTTAAGTTATGTACCTATAACCTTATAAGGAGAGTCTCTGTCCCCACCACCTGTCATGGTTATTTTAAGCAGCATTGTTCACAGTGGGCTTCATGCTGAGGAGCTGGTTTATCTGGGACACCGTGGGGGCTGGGGGAATGACATGTTACATTTGATTTTGAGGGATCCCTGGCACCCCTGAGGAAGAAGGTCTGGAAGAGAACAAGCTGGGAGTCAAGAGAAATGATAAGAGCTTGAGGGGCAAGACCCAAGAGGTCCAACTGGTGGGTTTGAATGTGTTGGTGGGGGGCAGACTAGGGAGATTCTTACCCCACCCCTCATGGGACAGATGATTGGGCGCACAGAGACTTCACAAGTCATTCTCACATACGTTCTCTCCCAGGCAGGGAAGGGCTGGCACATTTGTTGCCCAAGGAAGCAGGATGAGTAAGGGGCGTGATTTCACCCTAGAGGCTGGCCCAAGTGATGACACACATGCACAAGGGAATGAGTCTTTGTCGTTGAGTGTGACATATGGGTGAAGTGTAAACCCCATGTGACTGGCTGTGAGCTGGCAGCCAAGAGCTGGGATTGGAGACTATGGGGTGAATTCACTTTTAGACACGTTGAATGTGAGGTACCTAATGAGACATCCAGGTGGACATGTTCAGGAAGGGGCTGGATTTCTGAGTCTGAAGATGGGGGGTAGGGGGACTAGACTGGCTATTTGAGAGTCACATGTCTTAACTCTTTCTAGAACAGGGCACCATAGTATCATTTCTGTAAAGGTGATAGCTGAAGTCACAGTCTAGTTGGTATTCTTTCTCTTTCCCCGCATCTACCACAGTCTTAATTTTAATTCTCCTTCATCTGCAGCCTTCAGTTTACCCAAGGAATTCCTACCAAACTGTGGGAGGATCTACCCAGCACATTTTGTTATTGTTTGTATGGTCTGGTGGTTGTTCCAAATGAATCTGTTTTTTCTAGTTCTTAGGTATCAGACCCATTTGGTTCCTATAGATAAGTGAACAGGGAGAGGCTCTTGTTCACCTTTATCAGAGTTTAGTAGCAGAGGTGCATCACACTGCCTCAAACTGCAAGAGATGTACTTTGCAAATCAAGTGGTTGTCTTGCTGCTTTTGGAGTAAAGCTCAATTCTGGAACATTCTCCATGTGACTGTACTTGTTTCAGAGAATTGATGTAGTCCCGGGAGATATGAGGCAGAGCACTGTCCCCGCTGCATTTTCCCATGGTGTTAATATTTTCCAAAATGATACAAGAACTAATATGAGAAAAAATAACCTTTATCTTTTATGCCTGACAGATAATCAGATTACTCTGGGGATTAGATAAAAATAAGTCATTTGTTCCTATAGTTAGTTACTATAATGACCATGATAATCTTGCATAAGAGAATTTAAAAATTAAATCAGATAAATAAGATTCAGCTTAGTGAATGAGAAAATATAGAAAGCATGATGTGAATTTGAAGACAAAATTGGCATTCTCTGGATGAACAGTGTTGTAGAGTAAGTTTGCTAGGGCCTATGTCCCTTTGGCGCCCACCCTGCCACGGGCACGCCGTCAGTGCTTCTGACGTGCCACAGGGCCTGATGCTTCCAGCCACGGTTCACAGCGGTAGATTGTGCTTCATTCCACTATTTTACTTTCTTTAATATCTTCACAAAATCCACACTGACTTTTCCCCCTAACATCTGATTTTATTCACAGGCCATGTTCTCATAGAGATTTCAAGTACCCACAAGAAACTCAATGAGAGTCTTGATGAAAACGTACGTAAACTATGTTTATACTTATAAAATAAATTTTATTTCTAAACTGTATTTTGCTTAACGTCTCAAATCTGGTGTGAATTTTTAATTCCTTTTGTTAACAGTTCAAAAAATTCCATAAAGAGATTATACATGAGCTGGAGAAGAAGACAGAACTTGATGTAAAATACATGAATGTGAGTACACGGTTTTCTCCACCTCCATGGTTGGAAGTGGGTGTGGGGCACGGGGACCTGGCGTTCCGAGAGGCTGCACTTGCCTGATCTCTGAGCCCGAGGAGAACTTTCTCTCACTGTTTATCCAGCAGCAGAAAACATGGACAGAGCTTAGTGTTGAGTATATACACACAGGCAGGAAACTGACAAGCTCCCTTGGAGCTGGGTGCCCCGTTTGCATTAACACCTGGGATCTTTATTAAAAAGCAGAGAGGAAAATATTGCAAGGAGTCCTCCTGCTTCTAGACAGCACTGTTTCCAAAGAACACGTATGTGGGGATGACCTCTGCATCTGTATTCGTGCTGCTGTAGCTGTTGCTTTCACAAACCACGTCAGGGTGTGAGACGTGGGTGGGAGAACCACCATCTGGAGCTCCCTGGGGCTCCCAGGCCATTCGTCAGAGACTGCTCCTGCGTGGTGTCCCTTGCCTGTCACCTGGTATTGATGACTCCAGCAGTTTTCTCCTTCTGCCGGACCCTCCAGCCTTGTCACACGGCTCTTTCCATCTCCCTTACCTGCTGTGGAATAGCTGCTTTCTTTGCCACCTAAAGCCTCTTTCTCACCAAGACCCCATGTGGCAGTAAGCGCTGTCATTACCCTGAAATCGTCCCACGGCCCCTGAGTGCATGTGCTCTGTGTGCTCCGGAGGAAGGCGGCAGGACCACCTACGACAGCTGAGGTGGATGTAATGCCAAGCATTTTCCATACATTATCAGATTTTTGTCCCTACAGAAACCCCATAATGTAGCTATTCTCCTATCCTCGCTGTACATATTAAAGGGAAAACATGAATTTGAGAGAAACTAAGTGGTTGCTGAGATCACACAGGAAGTGAAGGATTTCACCAGAATTCTAACTTAGGTCTGTGAGGCTCCAAAAACACTTGGTTACACAGCACCCAAAATAATCGGAAGTGATTGTACTTGTTCATTCTGTTTTTTAAAGTTGTAAGTCATAAAACAGGAACATGTGACTTAATATTGTTTTTTTATTCACCAAAGCACTTAGCACTCAGTGTCCTAAAAATTTGAGAAAATAAGGAATAAAAGAAAGAAAAGACATTCTTGTCTTCTAAGAGTTGCCCTTGGGGTCAGTAGCCCCTTGTCCGACCAGGGGACTTTAAGACAGACAAAGCTGCATGTTGGAGGGAGGGAGCAGTATGAGGTGAGGGTGTGCAGGGCCATGCCCAGCAGAAATGTTAGCAAAAGTAACTGCCCAACAGTTCGCACGGTGCTGCACTCAAATAAGCACAACATTTAACTTACAGGCAACTCTCAAAAGATACCAAACGGAACACAAAAGTAAATTAGATTCTCTGGAGAAATCTCAAGCTGAGTTGAAGAAAATCAGAAGGAAAAGTCAAGGAGGACGAAATGCACTCAAATACGAACACAAAGAAATTGAGGTGAACTTTTCAGCACTATTTTATTTTGTTGTTGACAGTTTATACAATTTACAGGGAACGTTACTTACCTCAGTCAGCCACTTTAACCACTTAACTGCTGTGCCGCTGTTGAAGTTAAAAATGAGCGTTTTTGACTTGGTATGAGCTGAAGGCTACAGAGTTTTCCAGAGTTAAGAATAATTAATAGCCTCCTAAAAACATTGGCATTTTCTCCTGATTTGGGGGTGGGGAGGTGGTAAGAGATATTCCATGATTAGCATTACTCTCCCCATGTTACAGATGAAGAACATGGGGCTTATTAGGCCAAGTCACATGGTTGATACTTAGAACTGGGGTTTAAATTTGAACTTTCTGGTTTCAAAGTCCTTGATTTTCCACTAGAACACAATCCTATCCCTGAAGTATAAAGTAATATTTTGTGCAGATTGCCCAGCACAGAATGTAAGGCCTTTGGCAACGTCCTTCTACACATGAGTCAGGGATCTTAATCAGAATGATGATACCTGCTCAGGTCAGGTTACAGCTTTGTTATTTTATCTCATGTTGATCTGTATTTAGCGTTAACTTCTCTTTCAAAATAAACCAAGTGTAAAGACGGCACAAGATAAATGTCTGGCTGTGCAGCTACTTGATTCCTCATGACATACTTGTATAATTATTATTTATTTTCCTAGTATGTAGAAACTGTTACGTCTCGCCAGAGCGAAATCCAGAAATTTATTGCAGATGGTTGCAAAGAAGCTCTACTTGAAGAGAAAAGGCGCTTCTGCTTTCTGGTCGACAAACACTGTAGCTTTGCAAATCACTTACATTATTATCATTTACAGGTGGGTTCGTGATGGCAAGTTTTGTTGCATTATTAATAATTTAATTTCATATTCAAATGCCCTTGAAATGCTTCACCTTCCATATGTGCCTCAATGTAAAGCGATGGGCCTAGTTTACCAATGAGAAGAGATGCCAAAGAAACACCTTTTGGCCCACTTGAATATGTAAACTTTCAGAAATGTGGATGAAATGGTTAAATATTGCTTATAATACATGATTAATTTAGTATATCCATATTTAAAATCTTTCATAAAATAATGCTTAATAATCAAGAATTAGTACTTTTTTCTTTTTTCACCTATGAGTCAGCTTTTCTCAGATTCCTTCTGACGCGTCCTCAGCATCATTGTCTTCAGAGCCATGGGATGAGTCCCAGCGGGCCCCAAGCTCACCCCACCTGGGTAGTTTGAGTGTTCGCCTTGGGAGTCCATGCACAGAGGTGTCCCTGGAAGTTCTCTCCCAGCCGCAGACCCATTCACAGCATCAGGACACTTGCTGTGGTTCCTTTTTTATTCCTCTTCAGGGTGTTTCCTCGTGATCTCATCACCCGTGGAACTGGCTTTACTGTCCTCCTTCCAGCACACATAGTTGTGAGGTTTTACCCCCAGGAATCATTACAAGATAATATGTTACTTTCCCTTCCTTTTTTTTTTTTTAATTATAAATTTTACTGGGCCTGTGTAAGCATCCAAAACTAGCATGGAGTGAAGTCAAATATTCATTGTTATTTATAATAATTTAGATAGCGCTCCACGGTAGAAGTTTCTAAGAGCTTGAAAATAAGGCAACTTCCTCTTTTTCAGGGGAAAAAAACTTGGCCTTGTATGTATGCTTTGGTCATATGTTACATATTCCATAAAGTTTTTGCAACCTTAAGGACCATTCTTCTACCAGATCTAAAGCCCTAAGATCTAACATTGTTACAGGAAAGGAAAGAATTGTAGTATTAGATGATCACTTTGTACTCAGTTCAGCAGTGTCTGTTTCCACGGTGAGGGTGCCCTGCTGGGGCAGGGTCATAGGTCAGGTGACCTTGAGGCTCTTCCTTTGGCCTAGCCCTGCCAGTGATGGGGTACTCACTGTGTCACAAGGCAACCTTGCCAATTTGCAGAGAGCTCTAGTTGGTGGCAGACTCTTATGCTTAACCTTGGATCCCAGTTACACTTTTTAGCATAAACGAAGTCTACTTCTCTTCTCTACTGGGAATCTCTTCATCTCTCTGAAAACCGCTTCTTTGCCTTCCCTTTTTCTGGCTCCAGCATCCCAGTCCTTTCAGTGGCTCCTTGGACAAAGCAGGCCCAAGCAATCAGTGTGTTAGGGCTACAGTCCGAGGCCATAGGTGGTTTGGGGCGAGGGTTTTTTGCCTTCTCTTAGGAGTGGGAGGAAGAAAGCACTGATTGGCATTTCTGGGGCCACTGGGGAAACAGTGGGGCTTAATAAGATTGTTCAACCCTTCCCTTTTCGTGTTTGAGTTTGTTCTGCGTCAGTCTTCAACTCTGCATTCACACTGAGGCAGAGGGCAAGCTGCTGTAGAACAGGGGCCGACACCTCTCGCAGCAAGTGACACAGGGAGGAAGTTCATAGATGCTTAAGTGCTCACTGAATTTGACCCAAAGCTCTCACACTTCTGGTGGTAAGCCAGTAAAACATTATCCCTGATATCTGACGTGACTTTTCTCAGCTCTTTGAACAGTACACGTTTGTGTTTTGTTGTGTTTCTCTCGGATTCACAGTCTGCAGAATTACTCAATTCCAAGCTGCCCCGGTGGCAGGAAACGTGTGGTGACGCTACCAAAGTGCCCGAGAAGATCATGAATATGATCGAGGAAATAAGGACCCCAAGCTCTACCCCCGTGTCCGGGACGCCCCAGCCCTCACCGATGATTGAGAGAAGCAGCATGGTAGAGATGGGTTCTCTCCAAGATTTCAGTTGGGTTTTTACTGATAGATCTTGGGCCAAATTTGCACGAAGGACCAAGGCCTTCGGTGGTGGCAATCACAGGTCCTTCCTTGTCTCACTCTGATCCCGTTACCTTCAGATTTGACATTAGCCATGCAGTGCTCAGCACTGTGTAGTGCTATGTTCAACTCTGTTATCTTTGTTTTGGAAATGTTACTGGTACTGTTTTTCATTGTAATGATTCCAACTTTGTGAGTTTATTCCCAGTGAAGGAGGCGTAGGTGTCTTAGAGAATAATTAGCAAAACTCTGGTGCCATTCATCACAACATAAGGCACTTCAGAAAAAAATAGCCACCAAAGTATTTCAAGGTAATGAAATCAAGCATTATAGTTTGCCACTCCTTGTACCTCGGCTTTATTGCTTTTCACAAATGTGGAAATTCGCACTTGATCTTAGCCAAAAGGCCGAGAAGTGATACAAATGTGGAAATTCGGATCCAGGGGATAGTTTAGACACATGGGTCCACCCTAACCTCTGAAATGAAAGCAAAGATGCTAAAGACCAGTCGACAGCCTACAGAATAGATCCGTGACTGCATGGGGGATAAGAGAAGGTGCTGTCAGTGGGCCAGAAACACTGCAGTGTGTGTGTGGAGAATCAAGAGAGAAGAAAATCTCAGCCCCAAGCACATGCAGGGCAAGACTGTAGCAGAGGGCCGAGCAGTGAGCTCAGAGTCAGGGGGTCTAAGAAGGGGTGGAGAATGGCACGTGGCGTTCCTATATGTGGTCGGTTCTAGACGATTCGCATCCTCTAAGCTGGTCCCACTTGTGCTAAACAGTAGGCATCAGGGCTTTTGTCCACTGACCGAAACTGTGTGTTCAGAGGCCAGGCACCCGCCTAGCTGTGTCTTCCCTGTCCCCACCTCACCACAGGTAGTCTGTGATAACGAGAACAGGCAAAATACAGACTATGATAAACCGGCAAAAGAATAGGGAATGCCATACAATACAGAGATGGACAGATAATCAGGACTCACCGAACAAGTGAGGAAAACCAGTATCCTGAAAAAACACACTGAAGGAAAAAAACTGGAATAAACAATATTGGAGGCAACAGAGGCAGGAGGGCAGAGGAGAAGGCTTTAGAAAGAAACGAAAAGATATTACATCCCCAGGGGAAAATCAACTAAAGATTTTGGGAATTAAAAATGGATTATTATTCACAATTGAGATGTCTGGGATTTGCTTCAGCATATTCCAGGCACGGGGGAAGATGGTGTAGCATATATGAAACAATATTGGCCATGAATTCATAATTGTTGAAGCTGGGTGTTGGGTACAGGGAGATTTATTGTGCTATTCTTTCTCCTTTATACATGCTTGAAATTTTTCTAAAATAGCTTTTTAAATTTTCCCCCCCCTTTCCCCCTCCACAAAAAAAACATAAACAAGCAAACCCCCACACCAATAGATGGACTCATTAACAGAATGGAACTGCTTAGAAAATTAATCCAAAGAGCTCTCACAAAACACAAAACAAAAACGGAGAGAGGATGTAAACATAATGTTAGACAGGTTGGAGATACCCAATTGCCTTCTCAAAATCATCACCAGATGTCTAATGGGGATCTCAAATTCAACTTGTCTAAAACCAGATGACTGATTTCTCACTCTAAGTGTGCTTCTCCCTCTAGTCTTCCCCATCCAGAAAATGGCAGCTCCATCCTTCCAGTAGCTCGGGCACAAATGCGGACTTCTCTCCCTCTCTCCACCCCCCACCTCCCTACCCCCCAGCCACAGCCAAGCCCTGGGCCTGCCCTGTTGTTTCCACCTTCAAAGCATAAACAGGTCTAGCCGCTTCACACCCGTCCACTGCCCTGACTGTGGTCCCTGCTGAGATTACTGCAGTAAGACTCTGCCTGATCTTTAACACGGCAGCGACAGTGAGCCTGGACAAATGGAAAAAAACAAAACCTTGATAGACTGTGGTCAAGTTGCAGAAGGGGATAAAGAGAAAATTCTAAAAACTTCCAGAGAGGGGGAAAAATAGATTACTTACAAAGAAAAGAGAACTCCGCTGGTACCAGATTTCTTGTTAGCAAAACAAGATGTTAGAAATTAATGGAGCAATGCACTCAAAAATCCTTGGAAAAATTATTTTAAATGTAGTAATCCTAGGGCACCTGGGTGGCTCAGTCAGTTAAGTATCTGCCGTCGGCTCAGGTCATGATCCCGGGGTCCAGGGTCCTGCTCTGCAGGGAGTCTGCTTCTCCCTTAACCCCTCCTCCTACTTGTTCTCTCAATCTCTCTTTCAAACAAATAAAATCTCTAAAAACAAAAACAAAAAAACGTGTAGTACCTAGGAGGGAGCCTAAAATCCATAGAGACAGAAAGTAAATTAGTGGTTGCCAGGGTGTGGTGGGAAATGGGGAGTAACTGCCTTTTAAAAAAAATGAAGACAAAAATGAAAAAAATGTGATATTCTTGAAATAATTCAGAGTGGGGCATTGCCATCAACCAAGAGAACTTTGTGAAGAAAGTGGAGTTTAAAGCCTGTTAAAACAGCCCTGGGAATCTGTATAATTCCATTGCTGTGTTACACTAATATTAAACTAATGAAGAATTTTTCACAGGTTGGGAAAGATTATGACACTGTTTCTAAATACTCGCCAAAGGTGCCCCCAGCTCCTTCAGCCAGAGCGTATACTAGTCCTTTGATTGATATGTTTAATAACCCAGCAACAGTTGGACAGAATTCAGAAAGGCTAAAGAATTCAACAGGTAAGATATTTATTTTATTTTAAAATACCTTTTTAGGGGGTGCCTGGGTGGCTCAGTCGTTAAGCATCTGCCTTCGGCTCAGGTCATGATCCCAGGGTCCTGGGATCGAGTCCCACATCGGGCTCCCTGCTCGGCGGGGAAGCCTGCTTCTCCCTTTCCCACTCCCCCTGCTTGTGTTCCCTCTCTCGCTGTGTCTCTCTCTGTCAAACGAATAAATAAAATCTTTAAAAAAAAATAAATACCTTTTTAGGGGTGCCTCGGTTGTGCAGTCAGTTGGGCGTCTGACTCTTGGTTTTGGGTCATGATCTTTGGCTTGGGTTGTGATCTCGGGGTGTTGGGATTGAGCCCAGCCTCAGTCTCTGGGCTCAGCGGGAAGTCGGCTTGAGATTCTCTTTCCCTCTGCCCCTCCCCCTGCTCGCATTCCACCCCCAAATAAATAAAGTCTATAAAATTAGCATCGTTAAAAAATAAAATACCTTTTTAAATTTTTTTACTGTTTTAGATAAACGTTACCCTGAGGTAGGGGTAAATAAACATCTATGGTAGCACACATTTATAATTGCTTGTTGAAAGTTTTTTTTTTTTTTTAAGATTTTATTTATTTGAGAGAGAGAGCATGAGCAGGGAGGAGGGGCAGAGGGAGAGGGAGCCTGATGCGGGGTTCAATCCCAGGACCCCAGGATCATGACCTGAGCTAAAGGCAGAGGCTTAACCGAGTGAGCCACCCAGCCACCCCTGCCTTATTGAAATTTACACTTCAAAGTAAATAAAGGTCTGGGTTTATTATAAAACCATAAGACATTTTATAAGTGACACATTTCTTTGACAAATTCTAATTCCGTATACTGATTGATGTTTATACAAAGGAAACTTACTATTGAAAGGTATTACATTTTGAAATGGGATATAACTTACAAAGAGCCTCATATTGTGCACCATATTTGGTGGCAATTGTAATAAAATTTCTTTTTCAATAAAACAAACCATAAAAGTTCACATGACAAAATTACGGTGATTGATCTTACCAGTAGGCTTAGTGTCTTTCATCTTCTCTAACAGAGAACTTCATGCTTTCTGGACACTTAAGTTCTAACTGCTTAAATTTAACTCTATTGATGCTTTTTCAATAAATCAGGACAAGTTACTGTTTGCTGAGATTTCAGGGGGCTTTGCTTAGGCTCTGCTCTGTGTAGACAGAGTCTTTGGCACCCAGAGACCCCTCTCGCTGTGCGGGGTATCTCACAGGCCCCTTGGGTATGAAAGTCATGGCCATTGAGCCATGTGCTAGAGAGAGCCCACAGACTACAGCATTTGCAGCTGCTGAGTGAGATCCAGAGATGAGAGTTTCAGAATGGCAATTTTGTTTCTTTGGAGTGGTAAATATCAGCTGGTGCTGGAATTGAGACAGAAATGTACAGCTCGATGCTTCACATCGTGCAGGGACTGTGGCATCAGGCCACCCACATCCCATGCTGGCCTGCTAACCGAGATCCCGGTGAGTCACTGTGGACGATAACTGATAACCACTCCTTCCCTCAGAAGCTGTGAAGCATTGAGAGTGTGGACTGGCACTTAGGGAGGGTTCAGTAAACGTGCTGGTCCTCAACGCATCCTTACTGCATTCCCAGGTGAGATGTTGAGCCGTTGCACGGCAAGAACATCTGCATTTCCGATCTCTTATTCTTTGTGGTCCAGGTCGTGGGCAGTGGCCTTTGAGTTGATGCCCTACACTGCCTTGGGGTTCGTGTTGGGAGAGCAGGGCAAGGAAAGCATCAGGCCCTCCAGTGATGCGTCATTTTGCCTCTGATTAAATCAGAGTGCGGGTGAAGCTTGGCACGTACTGTATCCTCTCCACCTGGAAAAGAGCATTTAGCCCCAAGAGTCCTGCTCAGTGAGAGACCTCAGGCTGTGGTTCTGCCTCTGCTCCTCGCGGTCCCTGCCCGTCCAGGCAAAGTCTAAGTGTGGAAACAGCGTGCTCGGAGCTGCAGTAGGATGAGTGTTGGCAGGCGGGAGTGGGTGGCTTTCTTGGGTTTGCTTGTTTGGACTTGTTATCAGTCCCTGAAAAGCGATCACTGCTGCGCTCATTTTCAACAGATTCTTCAGATGATCCCAGTTTACCGCGATCAGTCTCTGTTGCAACTGGACTGAACATGATGAAGAAGCAGAAAGTAAAAACCATTTTCCCACACACTGCTGGTGCAAACCAGACTTTGCTCAGCTTCGCGCAGGGAGACATCCTCACACTGCTCATCCCTGAGGAGAAGGACGGCTGGCTTTATGGAGAGCATGACACCACCAAAGTGTAAGTCTCAGGGCAGATGCTGTCCACACAGCAGTCAGGGCCACCCAGTACTTCAGAGAGCTGCCATATCTCCTTTTAGTGGCAAATTGTCTTTGTGGTCACAGCGTTTTTACCAAAGTTCAGTTCATAGTTTAGTTATGGTTCTAGTGTAGTTATTTGGAGTTACTCTGTCTCAGGTTATTTTCTGTATGTCTGTGCATATATAGATGAATGTGATACTTGAACAGGTCATAATGAAGTCACCTCTGAAAGTAGTTTTAAATAATTCTTGTGGTTTTTTTTTTTTTCCCTTAAAAGAAGACTTTGGATTTCTCAAGGATAGTCTGCACATCAGATGGATTTTGTTAAGATTTAGCGCATGAATAGTTTAAATGCTAGTGTCTTCAGCCATGAGTATGTGCACAGGCCTTACTGTAAGCTGGTTAAATTGGTTTTCTGTGTAGATTATTCAGCTATTAAATAAATGTGGAAAAAAGCCAAAAAGGTAATCCAAATAAAACAAATGCTGTATATAAAATACACATTGTGTGATGTGGTGAAAATGGACCGGTCTGCCCCTGAGCTGTCCCTGAGCCATTCTGTAATATACTTTTAAGTTCACTTGTCTGCTGCTGACCCCACAACCAGGCCTTTTTTCTCCTTCCTCACCTGTAGGAGGGGCTGGTTCCCAGCATCCTACACAAAGTTGCTGGAAGAAGATGCAAAGGAGGCCATGAGTGTGCCCACACCAAGGTAGGACCTGACTGTGGCTCCCATTTCCCAGTGACGAAAACTCACCTTTGACCTCATGATTTTGGACATACGAGAATTCTGTCTAGATGTGTGGCGACCCCATAGGGAAACCTCCAATCGTGTAGGAGAGTACAAAAGGGGGACTATTACCCACAGCTATTCCCTTAGTGGTTTCTGCTGTGGGGACATGCCTCCAGACTCTGCTCCTCACCCTCATATCAGCCTTCTGGAACCACTTACTGTCCCTCCCCCCCACCCCCCCGGCCAGGTCACTAAATCCAAGGTGACCATCATCACCATTACTGCTTAGGAAGTGCCAAAGTGCCTTATGCTGACTAGCTCATTTAATTCTCATAACAACCTTATGAGGTAGGTCCCCACTTTAAAATTGAGGACACTGAGGCACAGGCAGGTCTTTTCCACGCCTAGCTATGAATATTTATATGTGTATCAGCAGCTGTAGTTTGTTACCCCATGAGTCCTCAGAAGTGACATCCAGGGGCGCCTGGGTGGCTCAGTCGGCTAAGCATCTGACTTTTGATTTCGGCTCAGGTCGTGATCTCAGGGTCGTGAGATCAAGCCCTGAGTTGGGCTCCATGCAGGCCATGGAGTCTGCTTAGGATTCTCTCTCTGCTTCTCTCTCCCTCTGCCCCTCCCTACCTCTCTAAAAAGGAAAGAAAGAAATGACATATCCAAACCGCACTCCTCATTTTTACCCTAAACTGCCTCATCCTCAGTGTTTCTCATCTCAAGGAAAGCCTCTAATCCATCCAGCTGTCCCTGCAGACCTTTGAGCACCACACTCGATGCCCCTCCCCCCAAGTCCTGCTCCGTGTCATCTGTGTGTCCTCGTCCCTGGCAGAACAGCTCAACTGCCGAGTGGCCAAGGAATAAAACTAGATATTGTGTTTGTCATGTTAAAATGCTGAGGACTGACTGGTTTTGTTTTTCAAATCTGAAGTGCTCAACACTTTGCTAAGGCTTTTGCTGTAGTCTTCGTTTTCTTACTGATCTTATAAATCAAGAGCCAGCTCTTAATTAAGCCAGTTTTTTCGAGTGCACATTTACAAACCAGTAAAAACATCACAGTATTTTTTATATTGATGTATATTGTGTGTGCACACATGCCTGTCTCGTCGTCTCCTCTCTCACACCCTATGTGGGTGTTCACCTATTGCAGCTCTGGCCCTAGGATATTTAGGATGTTTGGGATTCAGACGGCAGGATCTTAACATAACTTGTATTCTCTGCTTGTTGGTAGCCTGGCCCCAGTGAGAAGCATCAGCACGGTGAACTTATCTGAGAAAAGCAATGTCGTCATTCCCCCACCGGATTACTTGGAATGTTTGTCCCAGGGAGCGGCTGCAGATAAGAAAGCAGATGTTTCCAAAAATACTTCTACCTTTAAAGCACCGGTGTCCCAGCCAGAAGCTATATCTCCTGTGAGTGGAACTACAGCATAACGTCCTGTGTACCCCCACCCTGAATGGCGATCTGGGGGGTGTGGGCTCTTGTTCCACCAGGAATGAAGGTGGTATCCCCCCGGGCGGGGCTGGCACGTGCTCCTGAATCTTCTGCATTCCCACCTTCTCACACAGCCGCACAACTTCCATAACTTCAGTACTTCTGTTTGTTTTTATCTGTAAATGTAGTTCGTCAGATGGTATCAGGTGTTCTCTCCTCGCCTTTGGCCCCGGCTGCAGTCAGTCGGTCTCATCACTTGTTCTGCGTTTTCTTCAATTTTCATACCGTTTCCTGAGGGAAGGCTTCTGGTTAAAAGTAACTTTATCTTTGTGTCTTCAGAAAGTGCTTACTTTGCACCAGGTGCTGGGTAAACATGGTGTCATGTACGCCCTCTGTAATCCTAAACGACCCCATAAGATCGTAGAGGCCACGGGCTCCCAGAGTCCCTTCATTGCTGTGGCACCTGTGTCTCCTGAGCGCCGGTCCCTGGTGCGGGCTCTCAAGGTGCAGAGATGAATAGGACCAGTTAGTGGCTCTCTTGGAACTTACATTCTAGTGGGGGGAAGCAGACAGTGAGAAATAAACAGTAAACACAGTGATGGAAGCTGTGCAGAGAACTAAAACAAGGTGAGGTGATAGAGGGATGGGGCGACCGCTCACATGGATGCCACAGGTTTGTGTGCAGGTGCTTATGAGGGAGCACCCTGGGGTCCTCACCTGTGAAAGTGAGAGAAGGGGAGCAGCATTCGGCAGGGGGAGAAGCTGGACCGGGAGGGGAGCCAGGCCTTGATCACTGGCATCCAGGGCAAGAGAGCTTGAGCCAGGGCAGTTTCCCGAAGGGACAGCCCAGGGCAGCACTCCCTGCGTTTTCTTGTTGATCTGGGCAGCACGTGACAGTGTCTGCACCCCCAAGGAGGGGACACTGAAACTGAGACCTGAATGGCAAGGAGCCTATCATGCAGGGGTCAAGGAGCGGGAAGGAGCAGAGGAGCGCACATACTTGGGATGCTCAGAAAACAAGGCCATGACTCCAGGATGATGGAGAATTGTGAAAGGGGGGATCCGTGTTCTCGTTTTTCTCTCAGGACAGATTTTACCGTAAAGAAGGGGAAGCATGAAGAGGACAGAGACCGGGAAGGCGAGCGGAGCGCACGTGGCGTGTGGGGCCGGGAGCAGGGAAGGTAGTGAGCGAGAGGCCACGGGCGCGGGCAGAGGTGCGCACAGACTGGGGAGTTCCTGCTTGAGGATGGCTGCCCTCCGTGGGGAAGCAAGGGCATCAGCGGAGGGGGTGGGCGGAGCGAGCAAGTGTAAAGAAAGGGAATTTGTGAAACGGGTTCTGAAGAGTGAGAAGGTGCGTGTGCTACAGAATACGGGGTATACGGGGGGTAATGCCGATGCCCGTTTATGGTTTGGGGTCATGATTTAAAAGGAAGCCAGGCAGTTTGGTTGTTTCTCCAGCAAGTGCAGCTGCTCCGGCTCAGACAACTAGTCGGGGTTACCAGGTGGTGGTGCTGGGGGAGGAGCAGGGAGTTCTTGGTGTTTGTGAGGGTAGGGCTGTGGTGTCCCAGACCTTGGCATTCAGGCTGGGCCATGAACGGATCTGGAGGGTGGGAAAAGAGGTGCGGGGGAGGTGGGGCAGAACCTCTGCGAGGCTGCACGGCTGCCGGAGTGCAGTGGGAAGGAGCCTGGGAGGTGAGGATCGGAGAGTGGGCTGGGCTTCCGGGGGCTGTGCAGCTGAGCTTCGTGCCCAGGGCTGCACAATGGCCAGGTGGTACCAGAGCCTGCCTAGCCTGTGCTCCTGCCAGCTTCCTCCCAGAAATGCCCCCGGGCACTGGTGGTGGTCCATAGGCAGTTGGTGCATTGATGCCTGGCTACTTTGTTTTTTATTTTATGGTTATTGTCTGGTCCTTTCTGTAGCGCACGCAGGGGCATCTCCCTGCTTCTCGTGGGATATGTGGCTCCACAGCTCTGCCCCCATCACCAGTACTGCTGGTGGCCTTTGTTCAGCTGTGAGCGGTGCATGGGTGCAGTCTCTGGATTACATGGAATGGGGACTCTTAAAAATGTGCCCTGCCTTTCACTGGAGCCTTCAGGTGTTTTAGAATATGCCTACCTCATCATAAGCCGCAGTGTGTTCTGATCCGGGAAATGCAGGGTTTTGCAGTCTCTCTCAAAAATGTCTTTGGCTCAGGGCACCTGGGTGGCTCAGTAAGTTAAGTGTCTGCCTTCAGCTCAGGTCATGATCCTGGGGTGCTGGGATCGAGCCCCATGTCAGGCTCTGCACTCAGCAGGGAGTCTGCTTTTCCCTCTTCCTCTCCCTCTGATCTCTCTTGCTCTCTCTCAAATAAATAAATAAAATCTTAAAAAAAAAAAAAGTCTTTGGCTTCTCAGATAAGCACACTGTACAATACATTGTTTGTACCTTTATTATTACAAGTTACACCAAAACCTAACAAAAATTATTTTCAAAAGAATGACACACAGCTGTTGAAAATGGAACTTTTCCATTCTTTCATCATGGAAGAGAAATTACTTGGAAGGACAAAGGTATCAAATGCTGTTTTATTAAATACCCTAGTATATTTTATTTATTTACTTATTTATTTTAAAGATTTTATTTATTTATTTGACAGAGAGAGACACAGTGAGAGAGGCAACACAAGCAGTGGGAGTGAGAAAGGGAGAAGCAGGCTTCCTGCGGAGCAGGGAGCCCGATGCGGGGCTCCATCCCAGGACCTGGAATCATGACCTGAGCTGAAGGCAGACGCCCAACAACTGAGCCACCCAGGCGCCGAACCCTAGTACATTTTAAAACAATATTCAGACTCTTTGAAAATTATCTTAAGACATTTTGAAAAGCATAAAAATTCCTTTTGCTGGGGCAGGGAAAAAAAAAATGCTTACAACTGGATGTCACACAGCTCAGGATCCACGCAAATACAAGATACACCGTTCTGGTGTGACCTGTCTATAGTGCCTTCTCCTGTTTTTTTGTTTGATTTCCAACTTTTTCTTAGGGAAAAATTCAAACATAATAAAAGTGGAAAGAATAATGTCTCTCACCCCCAGCTTTGACAATTGTCAATTCATTTACCAATCTTTTTTTTTTTTTTTAAGACTTGAGAGAGAGCGCGCACGTGTGTGCATGTGATCAGGGGAGGGGCAGAGGGAGAGGGAGAGAGAACCCTAAGCAGACTCGAAGTTGAGCCTGAGGTGGGGCTTGATCCCACAACCCATGAGATCATGAGCTAAAACCAAGAGTTGGATGCTGAACCAACTGTGCCACCTAGGCATCCCCCCCAATCTTTTTTCATCTTGCCCCTGGCCGCTCCCGGATCAATTTGATGCTAATTCCAGACTTTGTCATCTCATGTATAAATACGTTAAATATAATAATACGTTTTACTTTTACACAACCAAAATACCAATTACCATATCTTTAAAAATTGACAGTAATTCCTCAGTATATCAACCAGTCACTTCAAATTTCTGATTGTCTTATTAAAAATTGAACAGTATAGTTTGAATCTGGATCCAGGCCTGCTCCACACATTGTAATTGGTCACTGAGTCTCATGACAAGTGTTTTTGTATTTAAGGTCTCCCCATCTCTCTTTCCTTGTAATTTATCTGGAAGAACCAGGTTATTGGCCCTGGAGGGTGGCCCCTGACTGGATTTCGCTGAATGCATCCACCTGGTGTCCTTCACCGCATTCCCCTTTCTCCTATATTCTCGACCTGGATCAGAGTCGGTATTATTGTTTTGTTTCTTTGCCTGCTTTGTTAGAGCATTTCATCGGTGGTGGTGGCTAGTCCATCCAGAGAGACACCTGTCTGATTATCTCTTCTTTTGTGATATTAGCAGCTTTAATAATAACCACCTCACTCCATTACTTTGAAGGCTGGGTGATGTCTTCTAAGATAAAAGAATCTTGCCCCAAAATCATAGTTAACACTGAAATTATAAGTGAAAACACTGACATTTTAGGGCGCCTGGGTGGCTTAGTCTGTTAAAGTTCTGCCTTTGGCTCAGGTCACAATCCCAGGGTCCCGGGATCGAGCCCCACATCGGGCTCCCTGCTCAGGGGGGAGTCTGCTTCTCCCTCTCCCTCTGCCTCCCACTCGCCCTGCTTGTGTGCTCGCTTGCTCGCTCTCTCTGTCAAATAAATAAATAAATAAATAAAATCTTTAAAAAACACAAAAATTTTAGCCAACATGGTCTCATTTTAGAGAACATTTTAATTTTCAGTATTTTTACCATGTCGGTAAAGCTTTATGATGAAAGCCACTGATGCAGTTCTTACTATACTGAATTGGATACACTGAAAAATTCTATTTATCATTATGGTCAAAAATGATATTATTTAGCCTTTGGCAGTTTAAATGAGATCTGACTTTATTTTTAAACCACTTTGGCTGGATCATAATAGACTGGCAATGTAAGGAGGCTGCTCTGGAAAGTGCTGAGACTGTCTAGTAAACTGAGGGTTTGGGGCAGAGCAGCAGCTTCAGGTGTGTAGCTTTCTCCGGAGGGCCGGGATGGGGCTGCTGCTGGAGGCGGCCCCGTGCTCTGTGGCCGCCTTGTGGAAGCCACTGCCCTTCCCACCTTGACCGTGGGTGCAGGAGTCCTTGGCTCACATCCCGTGTGCGCCCAGTCCGTCCTGTCCCAGGGCTCTTCCAGGCAGAGCTCCACACCCCAAGCCCCCTCCCTCTCCCTACCACAGACCGTCTTCACTGATCCTAATCTATAGTCTCCTGATAAAGCCCCAGACCTGATGGCTTCCCTGGTGGATTCTGCCATAGTCTTTCATTTTAGCAGCCTTGAATGTTTGGTTTCATGTAACATTTAAAAGCCCCAAATATCTAATGAAAGTGCCCTTCTTGTGTGGGTTCCAATGTGATTTTAGTTGTCATTGATTTTGTGAGTGTCAGAACAGTGAATGTTGATGAACTCTTAATAATTGAGACCTTCCATAAAA